TTCAAAACCTAGAACTCGCCGTGAAACCTTGACCTGTTCTGAAAGACAATACTGGGTAGAGGCCATGAAAGATGAGTATGCTTCCATTAATCAAAACCATGTATGGAAATTAATACATCTACCTCAAAAGTGTACGGTCATTGGTTGTAAGTGGATTTTCAAGAAAAAGTTGAACTCTGAAGGAAAAATAAAAAAATACAAAGCTAGGTTAGTTGCAAAGTATTTCACCCAGAAAGAAGCGATAGATTATGAGGAAACCTTTTCCCCTGTTGCCAAACTTCCATCCATCCGAATCCTTATAGTTATAGCAGCCCATTTTGACTTTGAGGTTCATCAAATGGATGTCAAAACAGCCTTTCTAAATGAGGATTTAGAAGAATAAATTTACATGACCCAACCCGAGGGATTTGAGGAGAAAGGGAAAGAGAACTTAATATGCAAACTTAATAAATCCCTTTATAACACTGAAACAAACATCTCGACAGTGGTACATAAAATTTCAAGAGACCCTTGCTCTTGTAGGGTTCTTTACACATAATGAGGATTATTGCATATATCAAAAGGTCAGTGGGAGTGATGCAGTTTTTATATCATTATATGTAGATGATATGCTAATTGTTAGTAGCTCAATTGCTCTAGTAGTAGAAACGAAAAATTTCTTTGCACAACACTTCGATATGAAGGAATCGTGGAGTAGCTTCATATGTGTTGGGTATCAAGATAATGAGAAACAAGAGAGAGAAGACTATCCAACTTTCCCAGGCAACCTACTATAAGAGGATACTGGAAAAATTTAATATGAGTATGTGTAAGCCCATGTCTACCGCAATAGACAAAATGTGTCCTACCGAAGACATGGATATAAGAGCCATAGAGAGAGTGTCATACAGGAGCGTAGTTGGATCCCTTATGTACGTCATGACAGGAACAAGGCCTGACTTGTTCGTCATGAGTGTGATGAGCCATTTCCAAACCAATCTAGGAGAGGAGCATTGTAAAGCAGTAAAAAGAATTCTCAATTATTTAAAGGGGACCATGAACTATGCGCTCACATATAAAGGGAGAACTGAAATAGTAATAGAGGGATATTCAAATGCAAGCTATCTCGCGGATCTAGATGATGCGAAGTCTATATCTGGGTATTTGTTTATGCTTGGAGGGGGTACGGTTTCTTGAAAGTCAAATAAACAAGATATTGTGGCTTTGTCTACCATGGAATCCGAGTATATGCCATGCTGTTTAGCAACCAAGGGGGGCGTGTGGATTAAGAAGTTTCTTAATCAACTTAATTTCCATCATATACGTTGTGAGGCAGTGCGAATTTTCTGCGACAACACGATGGCTATTTGTGTCTCTAAGGAGCCTTGGTTTCATAAGAATTCCAAGCATATTAAACCATACTTTTATCAATTGATAAATGAGGTAAGATTGAAAGAGATCGAGATCAGCTATATATCTACAGATTTGATGGTTGCAGACCCTATGACTAAGGGAGTTGTCCCTAATATTTTTGTAAGACATGTGAGAGAGATGGGGATGAGAGAAAGTGAGGAATAGAGAATGTAAGGCCTTCAAAGGCCAATTGAGAGATGTTGGGTTTATGTGGCCTTTAAAATTCTTATGAGTTTGTAATGACAAAAATTTATCATAGTGGAACATAAACTCAATGGAAGTGTTGTCCCTCGATGACCATACTAAGCAAATGATGTTTGCTGATACTGGACTGTGTTTGACGATCTAGTCCAGTCGGTTGGAAAACCTAAGGTCCCTGGGCATAAAGAATAAACTTAGAAAGGTTTTATGTTAGCCATTGATAAGGTCCGAGCTTATGCCTGGATGAGTGAGCTGAGAGACTGTGTGACCCTTGTGTGTGATGATAGGCCTATAGAGACGGGGGCCAAAACCTCATCCATGTTCCATCACACGACTTGCATATAGATAAATCGTTCGAAAAAGTCAATTATCCACCTTTTGGGTGAAGCGTATACATGTGCGAGAGATACCCCTATGCACCATAGAGCTGTGGTTGCATAAGATCATGGTGACCTTGACTCGTCTCTAGGAGAGGACATGTAATCCACAAATTGGGATTGCGACCCTTTGACTCATCAGGCAGACTTTGATGACTCGCTAATGAGCTCCTACTTGAACTATGGGTCATAGGAAACACTGGATCGGTTCGATAAAGCAAGTGTGGTCTGTAGTCCACAGTTGAAGATGAAGTACCCCATAATTACAGATTGAATTCCTAAAACCATATGGATCATTTTCCATCATATTAATTTAATTTGTTCATTTTATTATTGAAATAATTTTAACTTTATTATTTGAATTTGAATGAATCTCTCAATATTTTATTTATGATTTTTTTACTTATAAAAATACAGTTATTGATTTTACAAAGTTATGAAAATTCAAATATAAATATTAAATTTTTTATTTAATTTTTTAAAAAATATTTATAAAATTCCATGGGGGCCTATAGCGCACATGGGCCCACCATGTGGCATATGGATAGGGGCCCACATGTGCCACATAGGGGTGGCACGCCCCACCCCTTTGGATTCTTTTTGATAACTTTGTGTTCAAGTTATTTAAATATGGAAAGCGTATCTTATGACATATGTTCAATTTGTAATGTAGTAAATATTGACCATATCTTATCTATTTAAGATAGTAAATATTAACTTGATATTTTTTGATATATTCTTGTGGAATATATGAGATGGATAATGCAATTTTATGGAATGCATGATATCTTTAATATATTTAATTTATTTAAATATATTAATGGGAAAATGGTTTAAGGAAAAGGGGATAATGGTTCATGCACCTTCCATAATGTTGATGGCTCCGATCTCTCACCCCACAAGTCACCTTGATCAATGGTCCATATTCAATCTCAAGAAAGAGGCAAACTATAAGAAACCCTAGACCTAAATTTCATTATAAATAGGGGTGTTCTCCTCCCATCTCTACACACTTCTCTCTCTCCCATAAACTCTCTCTCTCCTCCCTAAGGGCCACACCTCTCTCTCTCCTCTCATATTTTCTCTCTCTAAAAGTTCCATAAGGGCATGCCCCAACCCTAGGTCTACTTCTCTCTCTCTCTCTAGACCTAAAGATATTAACGATTTGGAAAATCAGGGTTAAAGCTTTAGTTAATTTTGGAGTTAAGTTTTGTAGAGATTTAACACTCTCTCTTTTGACCTATAGATATTAAGGGTTTGGGAAGTCAGAGTTAAACCTTTAGTTAATTTTGGGGTTAGGGTTTTGTAGAGATTTAAGAGTGGTTACCTAATTTTGTCGAAATTAATTTTCCCGATTCGATATTGAAACTAGACCGCTGATCTTGCATCATTGGATATGGTGACTCGGTGTGGGGTATAATAAACCCGGTTGAGGTAATCTCATGCATCTTCCTTTTTATTTACTTGCTCTCTTTTATTTTTATATTCTCAAGCATAGTATTAGGTTGAATAAATGACATCAAGTGGTTGAGTTTTATTTTATTGTTGTGCTGTTTTATTTTGAAATATTTATTGATTGTAACAAGACCATCTGTAAGTGATCTTTTTACCAAAATAAAAAAGGGTGATTATTATCATTAAAAAAAAATTGTATTCCCTGGTAAAATATCATATAGGTCTTGCTTTCATAAAGGTGGTTCGCTTTTCCAAAAATGACTATCAATGTGACACAGTCCCACTGGGTTCATGTTCCACTATATATTTTTACTTTACTAGCACTTATAAAGCCTTTAATGGACACCTTCACCCAACATGTACTTAGTGAGATCTTTCTTTTTCTTTTGTGCTTGAAGCTCTTCTAGATTGAGAGTTTGATGCATGCCACACTAAGCTAACTTTTAATTATAAAAACTAGAAGTGTCACTTACATAATAAAATTAGAACCTTTGATAGAAGGCATGAGAGCTCTTTAAATCAATGTTTTATGGGGTTCTTGGAGAGAAAATTAGTGGGATATAAAAGAATGTCCCATAAGTTAATGCTAAAAAAAAAAAAGAGGAGTTATCTTTCTTATTTTTTATAAATTTGTTTTTACTCAACTTTATCCCCAATTGGAATTATACAGGACATATGATTACCTTTGCCTTCCACTCTACCAAGAATAAGTGGATGCTTCTCTCTAGTCTTTTAGGCTTATAAGGGATGGACTCCAAGTCCAACATAGGTTTTCAATCTTAATCTTCAATTTTTTAATAAAATCATTTTTTTTAATCATGATTGATTTAGAAAAGGGTGGCGATTGTAGGAGGATACCCCAAATCCAACGTACCCCACCCTTCCATCCGTCTACATGATGTTAACGGGATATTTTCCTAAAGCAAAAATTTTGTTAGGAAACTTATGTTCACGAACCTAGAAGTTTAAGCCACATTTCATAGGATAATTTTTTATTTTTTATTTCAAAGATGGCATGAGTTTTACCAACGAAATTTTAGTTTTTTGTTAACTGAAATAAAAAGGATTTAAAATGTTGTAAACCTGAAAAAACAATTGCTTCAAGGATTTAAAATGTTGAAAATATGAGAAAACAATTTATTCAAGTAGCAGCCCGTCCAGCCCGTGCCCCACCCAACCTGTCTAACCTGTTTTTTAAACGCTCGCGTGAAACCGAGTGGGATATTTCCAATAGTGGGATATTTCCAATAGGAAAATTGTTTCAAGCGGGTCGAATCGTATTTCTAGATATGCGGTCCAAAAAGTGTAAAGCATCCATCTTAAAGATGGATCATTTTTAAAATAGATACAAGTGGGTGATCTATTTAAAAACAATGAAAACTACCTGTTCAAATGTTTTTTTACTAAAAATGTTATTTTTAATTTTTAAAAATTATTTATTTTTTCATATTCATGCACCTGGAGATTATATATCCTTAAAAGCTAAAAGTTATTTATTTTTTCATATTCATGCTCCTGGATATTATATATCCTTAAAAGTTAAGCTCGCATTTAAGCGGGCTCGGTCGCATAGAAACAGGGTCCGTTCCAATATTCCTTCTACGCGTAAATGAGTCATTGACTGTTCGACCATGGCGACTCCTGCATAACCAATCAGAAACCGGCACACGCCAAAAACAACAAATAACTAAAACTAAACCCCCCTCCAAACCTTCCCCAAATTTATATCCCCTGTTCAGACAGACGACCCCCAAATTCTCTGCTAAATTTATCTTCCATGGAAGCTTCTGTGGAGTACAAGAGGGTGGTGATTGTGGGAGGAGGAGTTGCAGGAGCGTTGCTGGCTCGATCGGTCGAATTCCATGCCGATGTTTTCCTCATTGATCCGTAAGACCCATCCCTCAAAACCCCCCTTTGTTCTCTTAGAATTGGAATAAAAGAATGGGTGCTGGTAGTTTTTTTGCTTTTTTTTCCTTATCATCGTCAAGTCCTAATTCGAAGAACCCAGAATTTTTTTTCATGTAATTTCATTGGATTTCGGATTATTTTCATTTTATTCGTTATTTTTGTTGGTTGACGTCATGATCTTTAATTTAATGACCGAAGTTTAGCAAATCTGATAAACCCAAGAAGAGCAATGAAATATGGTTATTCTAACCCTTCCCTTCTTCCCCAATAAAATAAATAAAAGAAAAGTAAGAAAATGATAATTGATAATGAAATTTTAATTGTTTATTTATTTTTATTTCAGGAAAGAATATTATGAAATTCCATGGGCTAATCTTCGAGCAAAGGTGGAGCCTGATTTTGCAAAGAGGTCATTGATTAATCACAAGGATTATCTTAGGAATACGAGATTAGTTACGGCGAGCGGAGTTAAGGTAACAGAGAAAGAGGTTTTAACTTCGGATGGGAGATGGATATTATATGATTATTTGGTCATTGCGACCGGACATCCCTACTCTATACCGCTTACTAGGCTGGAGAGGCTCCAACAATTTCAAGCAGGTAACATGAAATTTGCAGCCTCCTTGAGTTATGCCCATTTTTTTTTGTTTTTCCTTCTACTTCCTTCTTCTTTACTTAAGATGGACAAAAATATATATTATCATTCCCATATTTTCCAAAGGGAACCGTAAGAAAATTTTGCATGGTCCAACCTTCACATTGAATTCATATGTTGGGTAATTACAGAATCGGACACTTGATTATTTTGTTCTTTTAGTTGAATTTTTTAGTTTTCCCCACAAATGAGAAATTTTCATCAAAGAAATTAAAGGAATTTCTTATAGTTCACCTATTTGACCCCCGACTCGAACTTTGGCCAAAACTAGTCTGAATCAGCCCTTTCCATTCTGGTGGTTGTATTTGAAGATACAAGAAATGCTGTATTCCACCCAACAAGGGGATGATCATATTTTACAATCAATATAGCAGTATTTGAAACTCTGAAACATTTGAAGAAGGGCCTCTTTTTGTTGAAGTCGCCATGGCTGGTTGAGTGACAAATAAAGCCGGCAAGCCATGCGCGACATATAATGGATTTTAGAACCTCAATTTTAACCTCAGACAGTCAACCTAAAACCAGAGTTTGCACCAAAAAAGCATGCTCACTGCATGGTCATAACTCATAACCTCCCTCAAGTTATATTGCCTTTACTAGTTCTTCCATACCAGTATTCCAAAGTCCAACCATTTAAGCATGTACCTGTCAAGGTTATAAACCTTCTATAAACAACTGAAATAGCTCAAGCTAGATTTCCTTAGTAGACCATAGAATCTTGAAGTCCCATTATTCTGAATTAAAATCATTTGCACTCTCTTTTTTTTGTTTTCTTTTTTGTGGCAACAGAGTACCAAAAACTACAGTCAGCAGATTCAGTCTTGATCCTCGGAGGTGGTCCAACTGGAGTGGAACTTGCTGGAGAGATTGTTGTCGATTTCCCAGGAAAACAGGTGACAATTGTGCACAGAGGCTCAAGGTTACTAGACTTCATTGGGCAAAAGGCCTCTACAAAGGTTCTCGATTGGCTCAAGGCCAAGCATGTGAATGTGCTCCTAAACCAAGAGGTTAAGCTCGACGAACTATCAGAAGGCCAAAAGACATATGAAACATCAAATGGGACTAAGGTCTCTGCTGATTGCTGTTTTATTTGCACTGGGTTGCCTCTCAGCACAGAGTGGCTCAGGGAGGGGGTATTGAGTGAGTGCTTGGATCGACATGGTCGCCTCATGGTCAATGAGCATCTCCTAGTTAGAGGGAAAAGCAATGTCTTTGCGATTGGTGATATCACCAACGTTCCGGTAAGTGTTGTTTCCTTAAGAAAATTGTCCAAATACAATTAGTTTCCAGTTTTTCCATGGGAAAAATGTTTAAAATAATGTTGATTTCTCTTTATTCTGAAGTGAAATGTCCAAAGTACTTGTTTTTCTTTTCTTTTGTTATTTTACTCTTTTTTCCTCGAGGAAAATACCCAAAGTGATCTTAATTCCCTTTTCTTTGGTTATTTTACATTGATAAACAAAGGCTGCTCTAAAGTATCTTCCCTGAAGTTGGTTGATAGAGGTTACATCCCAAAATTTAAGTCCTAAGAATGACCCTGGTTAGGGTTCTACCCAAGGGAGCGATTTTAGCAATATGCTTCAACTAGAGCTTATAGTTTTTGGCTGTTGTTTGTTAAGGTAGAGCATGGCTAAAAGAACTTTTCAGTCCCATGCTGTCCCATGTAGCCTGGATAAACGGGTCTCTATGGATTTATAACTACTAATCTTCCTTGGCCTTTTGAGGACTTATAATTAAGAGAAACTTGGGGGCTTTCAATTTATTTTCATCAAATGAAAGCCATACCTCGCCACCCAAGCCAAGTGCATACAGAAGGCCAAATAACCTGGTGACTTGGTCTCTCAAAGGCTTCTACTTTGCATGCAACTCAGAGAAGATTGTGCAGTACTTTGCTAGGGATAGTTGTGCCCATGGGGCATAGATTTGGTTGCTTGGATTTTTCATGTTGGGGGCATCTAATACCTTGGAGACTAAGGTTGACACTGGGCAATGTGGCCTAGCCCCTGCTTGGTCAGGCTGGCCTTGAAAAACTAGAGCTTGGGCCACAAGATGTGGCCCAAGGACTAGGCCAAGACCAGGTCCAGGCTAGGGCCACAGCTGGCCCAGCCGTTTGCAGTCCTATTGAAGACAATATGAGCATCACATGCCTTTGAGTCTGTTGTTGAAGCAAAAAATAAAGTTATTTATTTTGGACAAGTTTGGTTTTTCGGTTTTAAACTTATTTCAAAGTTGTGTCCTCTGTATTTTTGCACAAATTTAAGGAGTTTTTATTCTCACCATGGTAAGACTGTAATTTTTGGGATATAATTACTCCTAATTAGTCATGCATACATTTATTTATTTTAGAAAATTAATTTGCTTGGAATAGGAAATCAAGCAAGGGTTTTATGCACAAAAGCATGCGGCAGTGGTAGCAAAGAACTTGAAGGCACTTATCAAGGGAGGGAAGAAGCTGACAGATTATTGTCCTGGGACTACAATGGCCATGGTGTCGTTGGGTAGGAGAGAAGCTGTGGCCCAGTTCCCATTCACCACTCTCATTGGTCGATTCCCAGGAATGATTAAATCCAAGGACTTGTTTGTTGGCAAGACTCGCAAAGAGATGGGTCTCGAGGATGGCGACTAAGTCATCGTCATCATCATCATAATATCTTTTTCCCAGTTAAAGACCAATATTTATCTCTCACGCACATTTTAATGTGGCATATTGTTTGGCATATTGTTTTATGCTTATGGAAGTATTTATTGGAGATGGGGTTATAGATTTGTTGTATATTCAGCTTGTTATTATTGTGTCATTTGTGGGGCCGGGTTTGTAATTCTTTTTGGGTGTTCCCCTAAGAATTTATTTTCGAGTTTGTAGAATGTTTGGGCACATTTACCCATATGGATTTTGCTAAGATTATGCACCATTGTTTTTCCCTTCTGAGAGTGATGCGCAGAATATGCATTTTTTTTAGAAAAAAAGAAGGAGGGCTTCTTTTTCTGAGAGAAAGAGAGGGTGTTGAGTTTGTATAATAGTTGAAAACAACCCATGTACTTTTAAGCTAAAAGATTTCCTAATCTTGTGGGAGTATTACTGTCCATTTACTCCCTTGAGCAAAACTAGTGCTAGAAGTATTTTTTATATCCCATATTTTGGGGATCTAATCTTTAGAACCCAGGACCAACCTCAAAGGAAAAGGGGAAAAAAAAAAAAGAATTTAAGAAAAAATATCTTCATATACTTTATTTTTAGGTTTCATATCACAATAGATCCAAGGTTTTACAAGATATTTTGGAGCATAAAAATTGTAGATTTTATTTCTGTTAACCCCTTGAGATAATTTAAACTTGTTTTCTTAGGCTAAACATTTAAAAATACGTCTTTTTTTATAAGCCATATTCCCAAATCTCTATGCTCTCCTTCTCTTTCTGTCTTTCCCATCTCTCTCCCTGCACTCTCTCCCCTCCTGCTTTCTCTTCACATTTCCCATCGCTCTCCCCTCATTTTTACGAGCTTCACAAAACCCACAAACCCGTTTGCAATCTCAGGCTTTTCCCGATCTCTCTCTAAGGAGTGCCTCAGAAGCCCTGGTATCATCATATTCTCCAATCTCCGCGCTATTGATTGTCGGTTCAAATCATTTCTCTACTTTATCATCAGGACATGAAATTTTGTAAGCAAATCTTTCAAGTGCTTCTTATGTTAGAAATATGGCCTATCAGGCCTTTTTATCCTGAGAAATTTTTTTTTTTCAATAACGATACAAAAGCCATATTGAATAGTTTATGTGAAATCCCATGTGATTGATATGAGGTAATGACATATACTAGGATCCATTTTGGTGCTTTTATAGGATGTTGCACTGGAGGAAAAACCCAACATCATAGGAGGAAAAACCCAATGATGTGTTTTGATTTTTTGTAAGAATTGTTTTTTTATACTATAGATGTACAAAATTATTTAATTTCTAAATATATGTTATCAAGTTGTAGGAATGCTTGGATGCCATAATAATATGAGAGTCATTAGTGCACTAATGACAGGTTTAGCTCATTGCATAGGATTAAGAGTTTAGTGACAACTTGTTAATCTTAATTGGCTACACTTAAAGAAATTAAGGCATGAGTTATATTTGGATCTCAACTCCTATCTACCATGAATGTGAGAGTTACAAAAGATGGTTCTCTATGCCTTTGAATTTTTACGTAAAGTAAATTGTTTCATAAATTCAAGTTATTTTGAAAGACAACCTTGTTGGTTTCAGTGGGAGCATATTTAGTAAGTTTTAGTAGTAAAACCATCATCAAAGAAAGACCCTTGATATTGATTTTAGAAACACTAATATCTCAAATTAATTTCACTTATGAGAAAATTGGAAGAGGTATTGAATAAGAATGATTTGTAAATAAAAGCCAAAAAGAGTATTTGACCTCTTATTTGAAAGTTGATCATTTTATGAACCTAGGAGACGTTTTCTTCCACTGTATTATAAGTATTATTGTTTTTATTTAGTACCACAATGAGAAGTTTTAAGTCACTTAGAGGTATGTCACTTGTTAGAGTTGTGAGGCATCTCTTTGATAGACTTTTGAATTTTCAATGATTAATTGTGTGACATTACGATAATAGATCCTCACTTGTCTATACATGCTTTTCATGCCATGGTGATCATATGTATTCACTTTCACATAGATGATTCATTAGATAGCTTCTACTGGTATCTAAAATGCTAGTAGGCCTTTTAGTGGAGTACGCATAAGCCACTTGAAAATGTTTTCAATAGAATGTGAGACCTTATGTAGAGCTGCATACTTATATGTGCATTATGACATGATCACATGATGATAATGACACCTCATTTTGTAAGCTAGTCACACTGATAGTGACTATCTATGTATGGACTATATGCATATGACTTAATACAATTGGTTGTCTATTAGGAGAGCAAGTAAGAAGATGGATGTGAACATATATCTCAATCTTTATGAGTATAAATTGTCATGAACATGCACAAAAAAGTTTGTATAAAAGTGATTAGAAAACCTGAGAATACATAAGAGATACATAAGATTGGTGATGGGACGACTATAACACATAACATATATCTTGTCAACCATTCTGCCCATGCAAGTATTGTTCTCTTTGTCATGTCAAATGTTCCCATATTTCTTTTCCTTTAGGGATACCCATTGCATTATTAGAATATGTGATTGTTGAAGATGATGATTACTTCCGCAATTAGCATTTAATAGATTAGTATGTCAAGCATTGGCATGAATATGATGTGAAATGTTGACACATAAACTACATGATATTTGAATGTGGATGAAGGAGAACAAAGACATTTAAATTGTGATTTATAGTTTATGTGACATACACCAGACATAGAAAGAGTTCATGAAAATTTGCTCTGGTGATTGCATATGTTTGACCACCCTTGCTTTTATTAGTTCATGACTATTGATTATGTTAATGGACCATGTTGATTGACTACGCTTATAGTGCATATAATGATTTACGCTTGTGCATGATATGAGATTGAGAAAGGTAAATTGGATGTTGATGCTTGCTCTATTGCTTCATATGAGTATTGTTTTTATGGTAGAGAATTGATGTTTTAAATTATAATCATTGTGTATAAGAATGAGAGAGAGAATCACTTATAACACCTTAAAAGGCCAAGTGGGAGAATGTTGGCAATATGGCCTTTTAATACCTTAAAGTCAATAGTCTTATGCTCAGTGGGAGTTAGAGAGATACTGAATATGGGTGCTTGGCGCACTGGGGCCCAGATTCATATCCCCCGAGTATTTGAGGCATTGAGAGTATACATTTTGATAGTGTGAACTCTCGAGGAGGTGTGAGGGTCACCTCCCAGTCAAAACTATATTGATTAGAATGCCTCATAGTTGATGTGATAAGCTAGGGCTTGGAGAATCCAATCAAGACTAATAGAATTCGAGTATTTAAAAGTGATATTCGCCATGTATGAAATGGTCGGCTCATGGGACATGAGCTCGTATCCTAACATGAGACCGTTCCATGGCATGTGCACCCACAATCATATGGAAAAGCCACTCTTCTATAGTATTATTTGACTTAGAAGAGCTAGCACACATGTGCTATGAGAGGACCCCAGTATTTGAGTATGAACATGTCCCACAGGGGTGCACTAGTAATCCATGGAACCCCCGATGATGGGAAGCTCTAGCTCAGTGACTTTGATGTGACCAATTATATGTCCTTGTCATAGACTATAGAGCATAAGTCCATTGGGTCGGCTTGAGACACCGATGGAACGTCATTCAGGTTAGCCCATTGGAAGACTCCAACTAGTGTTATAAGTTTAGATATCTCATTTACTTTTAGTCAAAATTAATCTAAAATTGATAATAAAATATTTTATATTAATGAGAAATTGTGTAATAATCTTAAAAAGTCATTTAGAGAATTTTTGGGATTTTTGGAGAATTTTTCAAATTTTTTAAACAATAAAAAATGTGATTTTCAAATTTGTTTGACATAAATACCAAACAAAGACATCCTATAGGGATGCCACATGGATCCCAAGTGGCCATAGGGATGCCACGTGGCACCCCCACCTCCCCACTCGTGGATGACATCATGCTGACATCATATTCATGTAGGGACCTATTTGTCATTAATTCTTTTGCTGGTATTATGTTATAACATGTTATCTTGTTATTTAAAGTGTTATATATTGTTATGACTTAAGTTTGATTTAAGTCATGTTTTTTTTCTCTCATATGTGCTATTTTTTTGCATGTGTGAAGTCATGAGATTTTGAGAATTAATTTAATTTATAATATTATCCACATATGATTTTGTAGCATGTGGGTATATCTTATGTGGCACCACTTTATGAGCTTGACCCATGTGAAACTTTAATATTGTTAAAATCCTATTGGTGGTGTCATAAAATATTTTATTCACATGTACGGATGTCCCATATTATCTTTATGTCCATGTCCTTGTATGTTATTGATTCTCACAAATTATTCAAAAATCATGGGCAAAGTATAGACATGAATTTGGACTTAATGAGAAATAAAACATGGAGCTAAGAGCTTCAAGGTAAAATGACTATAAACCTAGGTCTTGTGGAGTGAATAGTATTAAAAGCTCATCCATTGATCTTGGTGATAAGATATGGATGTGTAGCTTGGATAAACGCATCTCATGTGCTATTGATCTAAGGCATCAAGGATCAAGATCAAATCCATTTTTATGATCTAAGTATAAAAGTAACTTATGAGATCAATTATAACCCTAACTTGAGTATTTACTTCAAAGAGCGAGAGAGAGAGCCATTGACAAAAATGTGATCACCCATAAGACTATCTTCTTCCTTGAGCTTTCATTTGAAACCCTTCCATAGAGTTGTCCCTCATTTATATGATCAAGCCCATACTATTGCTTCATTAAGGTATTGATTTTTCTTTTCATATTTTTAAATTAAGGTATTGATTTTTCTTTTCATATTTTTAATTCTTACATCATTTTCATTATCAAAGCTTGTTGTAATTCTTAATTTATAGTAGTTTTCTTCATTTTTTGTCCTGAAAACTTGATATTTGAAGAGTTCTAAAGTAATATTGTAGTCCATACACATGGTATGTGTAGACAAGCTTGTTTACTCCATGATCTTTAGTAGTTTTAACTTGATTTTCTTGATTTTATTTTTCTGAAATTTTTACTGAGGATATACAACTAATGAGAGGTTTATTACATCATATTTGAGCATATGAAATAGTCTATTGAGTTCCTTTTTTAATGTTGAAAAGTTCGTGTTTCACCATAACTTCCTTATTTTGTATAGTATCTCTCTCAAACTTTGAAGGACTATTTTGATACATATCTCTCTCATGATTTGATCCCCATTAAGTGAAATAAAAGTGATCATTTGCTTCTCATTGGAT